ACCTTTTACGTCTTAGTGGCTTTATTGCCTTACTTGGAGGTTAAATAATAAAAAGAAGAAAAATATATGCTATTTCTAGTCTGAAAATAGACATTCTCAGGATTTACGAAATTGTCTTTCTCCTAACTCCAAATATTTGCTAAGTTACAAACTTTTATAATGATCTTATTATAATGATCGTTTATATTGTTTTCATCTTTGTCGCCATATTTATTACAATGTTTCCGCCATTGTTCGCTCCGGCCTTCTTCAAGTGGTTGGAATGTCATTTCGCTTACTGGGGTAGACCTCAAGGACACATGGCACAGTGGATAAAGACGTTGGTTAGATCCAGTGCTAGGATCCGAAGAGTGTGAGTTCAATACCCGGTTAAGGCAGTGGACAACATTCAGAGGGAAATTAACAGGAGATAACTGATAACTGATATCCATTATAACATGAATCAGAACAGTCTACACCAATGAGCGAAATGAAGGGTTCAGTTCGACATTCCAACCACTTGAAGAAGGCCGGAGCGAACAACGGCAGAAACATTGTAATAAATATGGCGACAAAAATGAGGACAATAGTCTGAATAATGTTAATAGCGTTTTATAATGATAGTATTTGTAATGATCATTTATAATGTTCGTTTTATAATGATCGTTTATAATGATCGCTTATAATTATCGTATACAATGATCGTTTTATAATGATCGTTTACAATGATCGTTTATAATGATCGTTTACAAAGACCGTTTGTAATGATCGTTTACAATGACCGTTTATAATGATCGTTTACAATGACCGTTTATAATGATCGTTTTATAATGATTGTTTACAATGATTGTTTGCAATGATCGTTTTATAATTATCGTTTATAATGATCGTTTTATAATGATTGTTTACAATGATCGTTTGTAAGGATCGTTTTATAATGATTGTTTACAATGATCGTTTATTATCGTGGTAATAATTATGGCGACAAAAATGAGGACAATAGTCCGAATAATGTAAATAGCGTTTTATAATGATAGTTTTATAATGATCATTTATAATGTTCGTTTTATAATGATCATTTAAAATGATCGTTTTATAATGATTGTTTACAATGATCGTTTCTAATGATCGTTTCTAATGATCGTTTTATAATGATCGTTTTATAATGATCGTTTATAATGATTGTTTATAATGATCGTTTTATAATGATTGTTTACAATGATCGTTTTGTAGTGATTGTTTACAATGATCGTTTATAATGATCGTTTTATAATGATCAAGACTCTAACATTTTGAATTATTTTTAGATGATCAACACTCAATAGTCCCTTTTTCTGTCGCATTTTGTTGGGAAAACCATTGGAATCTTGTTGAAATGAATATTATAAGTCACATACATGTTTAACTTGACACTCTATTTAAAAGAAAATAACTTATATCAAGTGTGTTTGGGGCGCTATAGTAAAGAATTCAGACAATTTAACAGAATGTTTTCCCATATTCTTTCTCCCTGACTTCATACCTCAAACACGAATAACACTAATAAAAAATGTCCGTGACAAAATTTTTATCCTTTTTACTGTAAATTCCAAAATATGAAAACAATTTAAATCTGCAAAATACAAGAAAACCATTCCTAAAAAAATATTTAAAACGTACTTAGTTGCTGTCATACGTCAAACTGATCATTGGCCAGTTTTTGTACCATATGCGCAAAATATCAGTTTTCGACATAACATTCTTGTATTTATTAGAAAAGTACTATTTAAACTAACATTCCAATGTTTTTGCTGTACTCTGTAACCACTTACTTCTTAAAATAACGGCCAGCAGTCATATTTATGATCGTTATTGCAATATCTTGTTAAAGTTGTTAAGCTCAAATATTTAACAATGCGATAGAAGAATTTCTGTGGATATTTTATTGTCGTAGAATTCGCCATAAGCTTATTCAGTCATTAACTTAAAAGTTAAGGAATTAAGATTTATCAGAAAATTGAAATAGGAAAACCGTGAGAGTGTCCCGTGTCCTCCCCACATGTAGGATATGTCCCCGATCCCCGAATCTAACCCTACTCTACTAAATCTCAATTTTCATAAGGTAATATTCATATAAAATACAAATGTTATTCTAATCTAATTATGTACAATAATGGATCATATACAACAATTCAATTAGAAAAACTGGAAATAAATACAATGTATCTAAATACAAATTAGAGACATGTCAAAATAGATCATTATCTTAAATAAATCAACAATGTTTTGTGGCAATATTCAAAATGAAATCGTACGTGAAACGTGTGAGGCAGCGTGTTACTCCGGAACAGAACGTTAGAATGTTAGAGGGCGAAGATCATCTGGAATAACTTGGAAAAATGACCCTGGAATAATATAAATATATATATATATATATATATATATATATATATATATATATATATATATATATATATGTGTGTGTGTGCG